TCTGACTGCTCCCCAACGCTTGCCCAAGTAAGAGATAGCCTTGTGCGCTCTTCCGCACCCACGGGCTCTTCTCCGGGTCGTTCTCGGGGCGCTTCTCCGTTCCTTCCATCACCTCCAGCAGGTCATAGTGGTCAAAGATGTTCTCCATCTTGAAGGACCATTCAGCAAAGTTGTCACCGTTGAACTTGTCAAGCCCAAACACCCTAGGCTCATCCCTAGGTGGGCCAAGACTTGGTTGCATGGGCGCCATGGCTGAATCACGGGGTTGGCCTTGAGCTTGAGCTTCTCCACTGCCACCAGCACCTCTGCCACCCCTTTCCTCAGGTCCAGACATTGTCGAAACTGCTCCAAGGGCCTCTGATACCACTTGTTATAGTCACAATAGGCTTGAATGTGCCTAAAACGAAAGATAGAGAGCACAGACGGATTTCTGCACAGCGGCTTCAAACGTTGATAGCGTTCTGCTCACAGCTGCAAATGACTTGATTCAAATTGGATCTGGAGCGTCTTCACGTCGTCTACAATTAGCAATTTAGATTGCACGATTTGATAAAGAATTGACGACACAGCGTCGGTTTGAACGAACGGTACTATGGCAGCCACTATAGTCTTAGAACACAAGATAGGAAGAGTTACGAGTTGGGAATGACTCCCAGCTCCTACAAACCCCAAGATCCGAGGTACAGTGATGTGGAACAGTGCCACACTGTCCCCAACCACGAAGGGTCTCGAAACTACCCTTCACTAGGGCCTACACCAAGTGAAATGTTACACTACACAAAGTAATGTAACTATCTTCAATATCTTGAGGTGTACCCTTTTGGCAAGCTTCGAAATCACTTGAGGCTTGACACCAAGGCTCGGGCTCTTCATCACAAACTCATCCTTGAGTTCTTGATGGGTCTGATGCACACACCTGCGACACGCCGAACGTTCGACACAGGACAAAATAGAAACCGCGCACGACAAAATAGAAACCGCGCGCGAGACACAAACGACCGCGTAACACGCGTCTAGCGATAACTCGCTATTGACTCGACACACACACTCGACATCATGACTCAACATTCACACACAATTATAAGCATGAAATATATATTATCCAATGCCCTCATACCATTCCATACACACACACATTCACGCACACGGACAACAAGCCGAGTGCAAACCGTAGGGTTGCACCAACATGTTCCTCCGTCTCCTCCAATTCTGGAATCTCCTCTGCACACAGAGGATCCGCCCGTGCTCACGCTCCTGCTTCCGATTGCGTTCGACGAGTGGCTGGAGGAACCGGAAAGCAACAAGGCCCCAGATGTTGAGGTACCCGGAGCACCTTACCCTGGACCACGTTGGGGCCGGCCCGATGATTGCACCACGTGGGACGAATCTGCACTCGGAGCTGACGACGACGTGGCTGAGGACGAGGAAGCGAGCCGTGCTGACGGTGACGAGGCTGAGGAAGGTGGCGCGCAGGGCGGCACTACAGAGGATGTGTTTCCTGAGGGTGTACCTGGTGGCGACGACGACGACGGTGTCGAGTACTGGTCACGTGACGGGCTCCCCGAGGAACTGCCGATACCTTCCTTTCCACCAGCTAACCGCAAGCGACCCCACCCGTCTACCAAGAACCGTGATGCCCGCCCCCCCTCTCCCAGGCACAAGATCAGTGATCACAAGCGCAATGGCTACCCGCTGCTGAGAAGTTGAAGTACGTCGCGATGCTGGATGTGGTGGTGTCGGTGCGCGCACTAGCTCGGGAGAGTGGGATTCACCGGGAAGTGTCTCGCCAACTGGAAGGCGGCAGCGGCATTTCTCAAAGAAGCACACTCCGGGCGGAAGCGCATGCACGGTCACGGTCGGGCCTCGTGGTACCGCCCCATGGAGTTGAAGGAGTACGAGCGGCTCCTGGACTGTCGCCGCAAAGGAACCGCCGTGTCGGTCGGCCGTCTGCGGGAGTGGTCGAGGGAGTTCATGAAGATCCTCTACCCGGACGACAAGTGGAGCGGGAGTCAGAGATGGTCGGAGCGGTTTCGGAAGCGGTGGAATCTGAGCGTCCGCATGAAGATGCGGGTTGCTCAGAAAACAGCCGCTCGTAAGATTACGCCCCTTGCTTTTATGTCTAAGTTTCTGCTTCACTTAGTAAACTGCCGTCTATCCCGCCCGCTTTTCCCCCGTCTCACAGATGTTGCGGAGCAGTGCCAGAGGTTCTGGCGTTTTGTCCGAGACATGCGTCGCGCGCGCGGCATCGAGACCTGCTGGATCCTCAACGCTGACCAGACGCCGCTCTGGCTGGAGATGCCCGCCACCACGACCGTGGATCAGACGGGCATACGGTCGGTGCCCATCCGGAGTGCAGGTTACCAGAAGGAGCGTGTGACCGTGATGCTGGCGTGCACGGCGGATGGGGCGAATCTCAAGCCGTGGGTGTTTTTCAAGCGGAAGACGCTGCCGAAGGGCGACTTTCCTCCTGGTAATAAGTAGCAACTGCCGCTGTCTTACCGTATGTTATTGTTTCTCATGCCGCGCTAACAGTTTAAGTGCCATTTGTGTGTGCAGATGTGGTCGTGGCTTGCCACGAGAACGGGTGGGTGAATGCAGAAGGCGTCATCCGCTGGCTTGAGGAGTGTGTCAAGCCCTTCTTGAAGCCCCGATTTGGCAGGTGTGCGAAGAGCTCCATGCTCGTGCTGGATTCCTACCGCGGCCACCTTACCGAGGGGGTGAAGGAGAAGCTCCGCGAGATCAACTGCGTGCCTGCTGTCATCCCGTCGGGCTGTACGGCTGAGGTTCAGCCGCTCGACGTCTCCATCAACAAGAGCTTCAAAGCATCTGTTCGTCAGCAGTACCAGAAGTGGTTTGAGGAGGAGGGCCAAGAGCAGCTGACAGCTGCAGGTACGTTGTTTCCGTTATTCACGCATGTTAATTCCCCCCTCACCCTTGGATGCTGACACGGCTTTCCCAGGTGTCTCTGTTGTGGTGCAGTGAATCTGAAGAAGCCCCCCCCCAGAAGTGGTCCTTCGATGGATTTCACGGGCCTGGAAAGCAGTACCCTCCGACCTCGTCAAGCGCGCCTTCCTCACCTGCGGCATTAGCAACGCGCTTGACGGCAGTGAGGACCACCTCGCCATGGCGCACAGGCGGAGCCAGCTGACGGCGGAAGTGGATGTAGACGACGGCATCATCGCCGACGGCTTCTTTGGCAACAACTGCCAGGAGCCCGAGTCTGACCAGGAGTAGTTCCGGTACTAGCACCTAGGTAGAATAGCGGATCAAGTGGAAAGTTGTGTACCAACTTGTAGTATTTGTTGAAGCGAACGATGTTATAGTTGTTGTTTGCTTTTGTTGTGGTGGTAAAAATAGTGTTAAAATTGAGGGTGGCGCTTATAATAAGGAAGGGTACAAAAGGGGGGGCGCTTATAATCGAGGAACGGCCATAAGCGCCATGCTCCAGATAGAAGCGCCGGCGCCTGTAATAGGCCGGCGCCTATATCCGGGGCCATACGGTATACCGTATTCTCCCGGATAAACCCCCCCCCCCCTAACTGTACACCCCCGGGTAGCTTGTGCGGGGTGGGTGTTATAATCGACCTCGTTTGTACTATACCCCATCTTTTGGGGTGATTTTCTATAACACCCCCCTTTTCTTATAGATTCCTATTATAGCTGTTATCGAGTCCGATTCCTTACGGGAGGATATCACGAGAATCGTTCCCTAGATGAAATTTCGCATGTACTTCCACTCTGAATCTGCCGAGATTTCCCCCCTCCCACAATCTCGCTGTCGCCACGCTGGCGAATCTTCCGCTGCAAGTGGCCCAAGAGGTGAAACTCACATTCTCACATGAGGCACAGGGACGTGAGTCGTGACCAAACTGGTCAAGTGACTGGTACAGTGACAACGCACCACCGTGCGCGATTCCGGCCTCGGCGGTTGCATGAACCCTCACAAACGCAAGGTTGGCTTTGTTTTCACCCTATCAGGTGCTAGAATCGCCCACTGATTCCAGTGGGCGGTCACGTTATCCTCGTATACTCGGTTTTGCAGCACTGATCAACAATCTTAAAGTGAAGTCAGACCCCTGATTTTGTTTCACCTCTTTTCTGCTTCATAAAAAATATACCATATAATAAGACCCGGGTATTATGTAGGATTAGGGCGACGTCAGGTTATACATTTCACAGCGCTTACAGTTCCTGAATCGTGGTTCAGGACGGTCCAACACGGTGAAAAGCGGTTCTCGACAACTACCGCTCTGCACCGTGTTGAAACGAAATTTACCGGAGAGGGCGTACAAAAAGCTGTACAACCTGACGTCGCCCTTATCCTTTGAGAAGACCCCCCCCATTTTGTCCCAGTGGTTTTCATAATACCCTAGGGTGTTTTAACCGGGAGAACACGGTATGTCTTATATCCGGGCGATGACGGTATTTGTGCCCTTGTTAGAGAGGTGAAAAAAAAACACACACACACACACATTATCGCTTATATATCAGTATAGTAAAATACAAAATAATCTAACTAGCCATGTACTCTCAAGGGTTACATTCCCTTTAGGCTAATGAATTACTCAATCACTATGCGAGCCTCAGTTATCGTAGTACGGTTACCATTTTATTCCTACCGGTTGACCTTTGACTTCAATGATTCACAAATGCTCTGGACTGCTGCTCTTTGTCGCGTTATCAATGCTTCGCCCCAAAGCATTGAGAGTGTTTTCTTCAACTGCTACCTTATCGCATGAGCCCTTCGCTGGTCTTTCTCCCACCTCTGCTCCCCACGGAAAGAGCAGAGGAACCAGATGACAATACAAGCGGGAAACAAACAGGCTGGGATGATGTTCGCTGAAGATGGAGAATGATGATGGATGGAGAGAAAGTCCATACATTTGGATGGCAATTCATGAACCGGGATGGCAAGAAATGTGGCTTGTGGTGGGTCACAATTTTCCGCAGGGGGTTGGGGAGAAAGCATGACAATAAGAGATCAAGGAGTACTAGCCTACCGGATTTGGTGATTCAGCCACTCCCTCGCCTGGCCAACCCCTGCTTGGGGCATGCACCTCGTCCCCTTCAACACGTATCCCTGCTTGCATTGGCACACAGAATTGCCTCCCACCACCACACACTCAGATTTGGTGGCGCATGCAGGCTGGCAAATGGCTGCAAAAGAGAAGGAAAAAAAAATCATAGGGACGAGCAAAGAATATGAGGGAGAGGGAAATGGTGCTTGTGTGCCCTCAGGAGATGCAGAGAGGGACATCCCGTAAGGGAGTGGGAGAAGCGAGTCAGAACAGGAAATGCACATGCGACAGGATGGCCGAGCATGAAATGGCCGAGCTGGGCCCGTGTAAGCGTGGAGGAAGCAGTGGACGCTGTATGATTGGATTGCCGATGCAAGGGATGTGAGATGAAAGTGAGATGTGCGTGAATGCCACTGTAGCTCTCAGTGTCTCCTGAGGAGTTGAGAACACTACTCCCTCACCAGTGCAGAGACATCTCTTCTCCCTCACACGACGAGCACAACGGCTTCACGCATGGAAGGACGACGTGCAGTCGTCAGAAGGAAACAGCATGGGGGCAGTCAGATGTGAAGCAGAGGCACACAGTCTGAACTCGGATGTTCTCATACACAGACATTTCATCTCGATGATTTCTGTAAGTGTGCAATGCACAAAGGACCTATGTGCGACCACCGATAGTCTAGTCTAAACCTACTCTTTTGAGGCGCCTCAAAGGTCACCCTATGAGATGGAAGTCAAGGCATGGTGACATGGCGAGAGTAAGGCAACTCAGGGGAATGACGTCCACATGTCCCCAGGCACTCACCCTTGCACTGGCCATTGCCCATCATGGTGTACCCGGCGCCACACTTGCACATGGCAACCCCATTCTCCACCTGGCAGGTGGCCCCCTGACGGCATGGCGGGCTACATGTGGCTGTTGGGACATGAGCATGGGGGCGAGAGAGGCATGGAGGAGGCAAGCAGAGCGGCAGGGGAAGGGAAGGAGAGACGGTGATAGTTAGCTGGGCAAGAAGAAGAAACAGCGATGAAAGATTACGAGATCCCCCGGGCACATTCCCTGCGCTGCGCTGCCATTGAAAACGCAACGAGCATGCATCCCTCAGTCGTGCTTGCAGGCTAACTTCCACGGAGAGATCGGATTAGATGAAAAAGGGGAAGAGGAGGAGAAAGGGCAGTGATATCCGGTCTTACACGTGAACTACATTGCTGGGATGCAAGAGTGGATTATGCACAAAGTCCTCATCCACGCCATCAGGCACTTACCTCTTTCTTCCATGCTCTCAGGCATCCGCTTCTAGCTTGCTTGACATGCAGCACTCACCGTGGCACTGCTTGTCGGCGGCGCTGTAGATCTGAGAGTCGGGGCACACGCACTGGGAACCGCCTTCCCTCGCCACGCACACTGCCGTCAACCCGCAGTCATTAGGGCAGCCTTCGGGACACCCGGAGCAGGTCGTTTGGGAGGCAGGGAGGAGAGCGGAGGTCCAAGTTGGACGAGGGAGGGGAGCGTGGCACGTGGCGTCAGACATGGCTATATGATGTCGGGTAAACATGAAAGTTGAGGTGGTGGCGGTCACACACAATGCCAGTGACGACGAGATGATGGGAGCAAACGAGCATGGGCCGGGCCCGCGTCAGGAACCCACAGCACGCCTGACTTGACAGGCCCAAAGTGCGTATGGTGCGTATGGCAATGCGCGCATGGCATCATGAAGGCATGCAAACCACCGCCACTCACCGAGTTCACATTTGATTGACGCAGGCAGCTCATCGACACGGAATTTCCTGCGGCAGAGAGATACAGTAAAGGCAGGGCGCGAGGTGAGCTCTGGGAGTAGAAAGCATCGAAAGCACGAACGAATCAACACCTGCTGGGAGGAAAGGGTCGACGGGTTTGAAGCAACTGGCCTCACCAATCGAAGATGGGGTCGCCCGTGAGGGGGCGGATGAGCGAGCGAGAGGGGCGGCCAGCGCAGTTCTTCTTGGGGTAAAGGGCGACGCTGCGACACGCGGTCGGGTCATCCCCACCGTTCCAGCTAACATACAGAATTGCATCCACACGGAACTTGAGCGGGTTGACGCACATGGACCCCTCGAAGAACAGATCCTGGAGAAAATTTCCCGTCGCCTGCTCGGAAAACGACACGAGCGAGATGCTCGACGTGGGCGGTTCAGGTTCGCAGGATTCGTCGCTGGTTGCGCCGCTGGCTGCGCCGCTCGTTGCGGCCGTCAATAGGACGACTGCGACGAGCGCGAGGCTCGCGGCCAGGCGAATGATGGACGGCAGTTCGCAAAAATTGCGGCGACGATGCTCCATGGCGATGGCGATGTCGATAGACTTTGTGTGTCCCAGGTGATGGTGAAGAGGCGACGGTTGCGATGTGACGAGCGTCGCCGCAATATGTTGGTGGTGCTAACGGCGAATGGAAAGGCGGCGGAGCCGAAAATGGCGAGACGAGGGCAAAGCGAGCATGCACGGAGCAGCAGGTGGCTTAGGTTGATGTATATCTCAAGGGTGGCGAAGTGAGCGGAAGAGGGGAAACTTATTGCAGGGAGCGCTGCGAATGTTGAATGGAGGGGCGACTGGCGTGCGTTCGCACTCGCGGGCCGCATGACTCGACGCTTCTGATCCGATGGCTCCGCTCCTTGCGAGTGGCGCAGCTTCCCTGTTACCACATGCCGAAATGCCGTAATCGCGGATTGTGCGCTGTGGATGACTTATTTGTTCTGCTTTATTGGATTCGAACTGTCCAATGGGCGAGCAGATGCGGGTTCCACGGCGGCCCTTCGTCTCCTGTGACGCGTTTCTCGTAACCAATGGACTTCTTCGGCAACACGAACACACTCACAATTGATACAGTGTTGAAGGTTTTCGTTACCAGTTGTTACAAGTGCAATTGATGAAACGAGCTAAGATTCCACAAAGCGTTAAACGAGTACAATTGTGAGGTGCTACGGGTGCAATGGATCGAGGTAGCGAGGATTGCACTAAGTGTCAAACGAGTACAAAATGTGAGCGAAGACATGAGCGAACATTTATACACGAAACATGCAAACGGTAACGCGGTGCGTGCGAGCTAGCTTGTGCTACGCTGGTAGCGAGGTTCGGGCCAGTCCCGAAGCGTAGGCCGATACGGCCGGGCCAGCAGTGCGAGGTTTGGTGAAAACAGTGCGCGCGAAGTCGGCGAAGCCCCGTTAGCAGTAACGGGCGAACAACGGTTGCTGCTGTACGCGATGTTGCAGGGCGCGCTAAGGAATGTCGAGAAAATTCCTTACACTACCCCCCTCCTCAAGAAGCCCCCTCCGCTACGCGAGTGCGTGTATATCGCGGAAACCCCGGAACCTCAGGTACACTTGCAGGGCAGGGTGGTTTTCGATGTTGGCCAGGGGCACCCAGCTATCCTCAGTTGGCGTGCGGTCCTTCCAGCGAACGAGGAATTCAATCCTCCTGATTCCCGTGTGTCAGAATGCTGTATTTGTCTAGCCTGCAGTGGGGTACTCTATAGCGAGTACATCCCAATTTAGGGTTTCCTATATGTACTCAACTGCTTGCTAGTGCAACCCCTCTTTCGTGTTCTATCTTTCTGCCTACTATCTTCGACATGCTATCAGAGCGGTTACGCTCCTAGCATGTGGACCCACCGTTAGCTTCCGCTGCTAACCTGTCTGTCACGCGCCCCGTGGCGCGCGGCGTTTTTTTCTTCCCGCCACGCGCTCGAGGCGCATGGCGGTTTTCTGCCCGCCGAGCGCTCGGGGCGCGCGGCGGTTTTCTGCCCGCCGTGCGCCCCGAGGCGCGCGGCGGTTTCCTGCCCCGTCGACCAGCGCGTCGCCCCCCGTCGCCCGTCGAAGCGCCCCCCGGGGACCTGCGCGTCGCCCCCCGTCGCCCGTCGAAGCGCCCCTGTGCCCCGCACGCGGCCCGTACAGCCTGCGCGCGGCCCGTACGACCTGCGCCAGGCCCGCGCGCGGCCCGTACAGCTCGCGCGCGGCCCGTACGGCCTGCGCCAGGCCCGCGAGTGGCCCGTACAGCCTGCGCGCGGCCCGTACGCCCTGCGCCAGGCCCGCGCGCGACCCGTACAGCCCGCGTGCGGCCCGTACGGCCTGCGCCAGGCCCATGCGCGGCCCGTTCAGCCTGCTCCAGGCCCGCGCGCTCCTGCCCTGCCGTGCGTGCACCCGCTCCCGCCCCGTACTGCCTGTGTTAGGGTTTGGGGGTGGCGGGTCTGGGGGTGACGGGTGTGTGAGGCCTCCCCTGCTCCTCCTCCTCCTCCGTCTCCCACTGCTGCAGCTGCCGCTGAGGGGGGTGGATGTGTGGGAGCCGTCGGAGTGGTACTAGGGGGGTGGAGTGTGAGTAGTGCTAGGGGAACAGCAGTGGGTGTGTGAAAGGGGTGTGGGACAGCTGGGGGAGGTTGAGTGGAGGCAGCCGTCTTGTCGTCCGCAGCGCCAGTAGTCCGGAGGCTACAATCTCCGGTAGTCGCCAGTCGCCCGTGGGTCAGTTGCTCCAGCCGCTCGGTGTAGCCGCGGAGCCAGTTACTCCTGAAGTCCGGGCCTTTGCTTCGGTAGCCACTGAGCCAGTCGCTACAGTGTGTCTGCAGCTTCAGCCGTCGCCTCTCATCTTCTCGCCCCCACAGTCTCTCCTCCTCCTCACTTGCCCTCTGTGATAGCCTCTAGCTTTGCTTATCATTGTGAACTATTGCTCTGCCTGCTAGTTGTGCTGATTACACCCCACTTTGGCTATGGGGGTGTGTCAGAATGCTGTATTTGTCTAGCCTGTAGTGGGGTACTCTATAGCGAGTACAACCCAATTTAGGGTTTCCTATATGTACTCAACTGCTTGCTAGTGCAACCCCTCTTTCTGCCTACTATCTTCGACACCGTGGGGTGTCGAATCCGATGGCTCAGGATTTTTTCGGGCTCGATGATCGGCTCCGAGGCAGGGCGAGTCATGGATGGCGGGCGGTGACGAGGCAGTTGGCTTGTGGTTGGGATGTATGGGCGAAGCAGGCCGACGTGGAATGAAGGGCTGATGTACCAGTCTGTCGGCAACAGTAAGTGGGCTGTCACTGGGGTAATCATGTGGCTGATTTGGAATGGTCCACAGTAGCGGGGTCGTAATTTCGGTACGACGGGCAGTCTTAAGTTCTGTGTGTCGAGCAGTACGTAATCGCCTGACTGATACGTGACTGGGCGGCGGTGGCGGTAAGCGTTGCGCTTAGCGATGACATTTGCCTTTTTTATTGCTTCAGCGGCTCTGGTGCGGGCAGCTTGCAGAATCTCGGCGAATTGTTGTATACGTGGCGTTGGGTTGTCCGGACTCGGCGTCATGGGCAGTGTAGGGTTTTGCCCGTAGTTCAGGTAGAACGGAAAACTGCTGCGTCGTCGCTGACGTGGCGTTATTGTACGCGAACTCAATCAGCGGCAGCTGCTGCTCCCAAGTTGTCAAGTCGTCGCACGTGGCACGAATCAACTGCTCCATCGTCTGATTCGTCCGCTCCGTTTGACCGTCGGTCTTGGGGTGGTACGACGAGCTGAACTGTAGCCTGGTCCCGAACTGCTCCCAAAGGTTTTTCCAGAAGTTGCTGGTGAACTTCGTGTCGCGGTCGATGATTATCGCGGCTGGTATCCCGTGTAGTCGAACGACGGCTTCGATGAACAGGCGAGCGGTTTCTTTGGCTGAGATCGATTTCTTGCACGCAGCGAAGTGAGCCATTTTCGTCAACCTGTCAACGACGACCATAACCGCGTCGTTACCCCCAGGGTTCGAAGGTAACCCTGTGACGAAATCCATGGTAACCTGCTGCCAGGCGCGCTCGGGCGGTGGAATCGGCTGCAACTGACCCGCCTTTCTTTTTCGCGAGCTCTTCATCACCTGACACGTAGGGCACGAGCCCACGTTGTGCTGTACGTCGGTCAACAGTTCCGGCCAGTAGTAATACCGCTGCAGTTGCTGTCGTGTTTTTTCTACCCCGAAATGTCCCGAGGTAATCGCGTCGTGTGCCTCCTGCAGTAACACTTCCCTCAGTAGTGAGTACGCGGGTACCCAGATGCGGTTGGTGCCTGTTTTTACGTAATAGAGTCCTTTAGCTTCTACTAGTTGCTGTGAATTTCCAGTCTTGAAAAATGGGTCGTGCCTGTATCCGTGGGTGAATAAGCCTGTTAGCAGTGGGTTGGTTTGGGCGAGTAGGATGGCGTGGAGTTGGGCGGTGGGGCGTGTGAGTGCTGTCAGAACTAGCAGCAGAAACAAGAATGAAGAAAGGAGGAGTTGCACTAGCAGCAGGTAGCATACATATAGGAAACCCTAATTGGGTTGTACTCGCTATAGAGTACCCCACTGCAGGCTAGACAATAATAACATTCTGACACACCCCCATAGTCAAAGTGGGGTATAATCAGCACAGCAAGCAGTCATAGAGCAAGTCACAAAGGCAAGCAAAGCTAAAAGGCAGTCACAGAGGGCAAGTGAGGAGGAGGAGTGACTGTGAGAGGAGAGTAGATTGGAGGCGACGGCTGAAGCTGCAGGCGCACGGGCAACAGAAGCGGCTGGCACAGTGGCTACCGGAGCAAGGGCCCCGGACTACTGGAGTAACAGACTCCGCGGCTACGACGAGCGGCAGGAGCTACGGACCCACGGGCGACTGGCGCAGCAGGCTCACTGGGCTACCGAGAGCAAGGGCTCCGGACTACTGGCGCTGCTGGCGACACGACGGCTACCTCCGCGCAACCTCCCCCAACAGTCCCACCCCCCTTTCACACACCCCTTGCTGTACCCCTAGCTCCACTCCCACGTCACC